CCTTCAGGGATTTGTTATCCCGGGGGACTCCCGAGGCAGTTGCAAGGTACCGACAGGCCCGAAGGGCAGCAGCCTCATCCGTGGCCGAGGCAAAGCAGCGGGTGTGGGAGAAGTTCGGAGAAGACATGGAGAAGGACTTTCGGGCGGCACCAAAGTTGTTCTGGAAAACTGTCCGACACCTCAGGAGGGGGAAGCAGGGAACCATCCAAGCTGTGTACAGTAAGGATGGGACGTTGTTGACCTCAACTGATGGAGTGTTAGGGCGTTGGAAGGAACACTTTGAGGAACTCCTGAACCCGACAACTCCGCCCTCTATGTTAGAGGCAGAGCTGGAGTATGACGGGGGATCAACACCAATCTCCCGGGGGGAGGTCACTGAGGTCGTCAAACAACTCCACAGTGGCAAAGCCCCGGGGGTGGATGAGATCCGCCCGGAAATGCTGAAGGCTCTGGGTGTTGAGGGACTGTCATGGTTGACACGTCTCATCAACGTTGCGTGGAAGTCGTAAACAGTACCGAAGGAGTGGCAGACCGGGGTGGTGGTCCCCCTTTTTAAAAAGGGGGATCAGAGGGTGTGTGCCAATTACAGAAGCATCACACTACTCAGCCTCCCCGGGAAAGTTTACTCTAAGGTACTCGAAAGGAGGGTCAGGCCGATTGTCGAACCTCAGATTGAGGAGGAACAATGCGGATTCCGTCCTGGTCGTGGAACGACGGATCAGCTTTTTACTCTCGCAAGGATCCTGGAGGGGGCCTGGGAATACGCTTATCCGGTCTACATGTGTTTTCTAGACTTGGAGAAGGCGTATGACCGAGTTCCCAGGGAGTTACTGTGGGAGGTGCTGCGGGAGTATGGGGTGAGGGGGTCTCTACTCAGGGCCATCCAATCTCTGTACTCCCAAAGCGAGAGCTGTGTCCGGGTCCTCGGCAGTAAGTCGGACCCATTTCCGGTGAGGGTTGGCCTCCGCCAGGGCTTCGCTTTGTCACCAATCCTGTTTGTAATATACATGGATCGGATTTCGAGGCGTAGTCATGGGGGAGGGGGTCTGCAGTTCGGTGGACTAAGGATTGCACCACTGCTTTTTGCAGATGATGTGGTTCTAATGGCTTCATCGGTCTGCGACCTTCAGCACTCACTGGATCGGTTCGCAACCGAGTGTGAAGCGGCTGGGATGAGGATCAGCACCTCCAAATCTGAGGCCATGGTTCTCAGCAGGAAACCGATGGACTGTCCACTTCAAGTAGGGAATGAGTCCTTACCCCAAGTGAAGGAGTTCAAGTATCTCGGGGTCTTGTTCTCGAGTGAGGGAACAATGGAGCGTGAGATGGGCCGGAGAATCGGAGCAGCGGGAGCGGTACTGCAGTCGCTTTACCGCACCGTTGTGACGAAAAGGGAGCTGAGCCAGAAGGCAAAGCTCTCTGTCTACCGGGCCATTTTCGTTCCTACCCTCACCTATGGTCATGAAGGATGGGTCATGACCGAAAGAACGAGATCGCGGATACAAGCGGCCGAGATGGGTTTTCTCCGCAGGGTGGCTGGTGTCTCCCTTAGGGATAAGGTGAGAAGTTCGGTCATCAGGGAGGGACTCGGAGTTGAGCCGCTCCTCCTTCGCGTCGAAAGGAGCCAGTTGAGGTGGTTCGGGCACCTAGTTAGGATGCCACCTGGGCGCCTCCCTAGGGAGGTGTTCCAGGCACGTCCAGCTGGGAAGAGACCAAGGGGTAGACCTAGGACCAGGTGGAGGGATTATATCTCTTCGCTGGCCTGGGAACGCCTTGGGATCTCCCAGTCAGAGCTGGTTGATGTCGCCAGGGAAAAGAAAGTTTGGGGCTCTCTGCTGGAACTGCTACCCCCGCGACCCGACCACGGATAAGCGGAAGAAGATGGATGGATGGATGGATGGTGCATGCATTACAACAAACTAAGGATATTTTCATCTTCATGCATGAAAAAAAATAACATAAGGAAAAAAATTAAAACAGATTTTTCCATGGAGTTTTTCAACTGAAGTTATATATGTTTAACAAACCAATGAAAACAATGATATATTATGCAAAACTATAAAATACAATACACAAATTTGACATGTTTATATGAGGACCCCCTTGGTGGTTATAGGAATATTTGATATTGACTTTTTTTTAAAAGTCTCACGTACCCCCTGCAGTCCCCCAACGTACCCCTAGGGGTCCGTGTACCCCCATTTGAGAATCACTGCTCTATGGTGGGGATCAGTCCGGGAGTCCGTTTGGGGCAATGTTGACAACGACTGCACCGAAAGACCCAGCTGAAGCCGCTCCCCCCCCCCGCTCCCCCTGGAGACGGACCATTTGGCCAACTTTGGGACTGTTTGAGCAACTTGGGAAATAGGAAGGGCTATGGTGCGCTTTTGACCACCCAGGTGCGAAGACCACCGAATTTTAGGCCCATCCAGCCACTTTTGGGTGAAACGGCCCTTTAACCAGTTAAGCCCCATTCCCCCGGCACCGGGGGCAAAACGCAACATCTTGCAAGAAACAGCGTCTGAGGGATTCTTAACATGTAACAAACTATGAATGTGTCTTATCCACTTAACGGGAAGAAACTCAGCTATCAGACAATATTAAAAACATTTTGCTAAACGAAACACAAGGGTAATAACAAAGGCCCTTAGCAAAAACATGCTAATGCACTTAGCACAGAACTCACGGTAAAATACCCTTATTACTTATCGGATCTGCACAAACAAGATATCGATTAGCAAGCTGAGATTCCACAGATTCCAGAAATATAAGTATCATCACTGAGCGATCAAAACTCGTGGGGAAGCAAACCCAGACATCACACCACGTAGCTTTGCGGAGCAAACACTTGACATTGTCTTACCTTTGCTGTTGTTCTGATCAAAAGTTGTGTTCAATGGCATTAAAATGATAAAAACTCTGCTGAAGGTTGATCCATAGGTTAATCCAAGGTGTCTGTGTCACTTTGAAAGGATTACTGATAATCCATCATTACATGTTTATATCAATAACGGAGTTTTCATAGCTGCTATGATAGCTATTAGAGTGTATGACAGCTTCCGGTTTTGGTCATTCTGGCTATGCATCACTCATTCACCAATGGGTCATGTTTAGATGGATTTTAGGAACCTCCCCTTGATTGTATTGGCTCTAACGGTTAAAAAGAGGTGTCAATCATCAAAATCGACCAAGGGGGGCCAGAGATATGGAAAATCCACCAAATGACCCCGGAGCTGTTTTTTTCTTTCTAAATCTCTCTAAAAAAAGTCAAATGTCACTTGTTTTGCATCAATCTTGATACAGGGTACTTATTATATGTTATAATTTGGATTCCTAAAACGTTTAGTCTACAATCCCATCATTCATACTATGTTCAATCTGAATTTACTTTAAAATAAAATAAATTGGATATTGATTCTGACTTTTATACATCCAACTCACAGGTTTATCATTGCTTTGAGAACAAAGATTATTAATTTACCCCTTTTAGAAGTGAATATATAGTCAATTGTTCTGGGAATGTCATTTTCGAGCCAGAGGCCTGAAAAACAGGCTGGGGGCTTAACTGGTTAATTGGGGGGGTCCGGATCGGTTCGAGTGAAATGCCCATTGGACGAATGGCAAGTGGACAAAGTTGCTCGAAGTGGATACCAGCAGTGTGGACGTAGCGCCTCCAACACTCGGACGTCGGTCTGCGCGCACGCCATGGCACTGCCGGGTTAGCGAAGTGTACGTCGCTTGTCCAACGCTAGTTTGTACACTGCCAAATATTTTACCATTCTACCAGCGTCCATGAGGTCGGAGGTTCCCTTCCTGCAGGGCCTAAGTCAATGCAAACTAACCGTATTATTTCAAGGTTTGGGGGTATACCGTTGAAACACTGGGAACTTAAATCCTTGGGACAGACCTCTTGATGTGCCAAGTTTTAAGCAAATCGCAAGAACTCTAATTCATCAGTTAAACCGGTTGGTGGCCTGAAAGCTTGTAGATCATCTTGTTTGTCACCAGTGAAGTCCCTATTTTAGTCAATGGCATAGTCCAAATCCATGCAGCCAAGGCATTGTGAAGATATGACCCTATCAATGTACTTATCTATGACCTCTTCAAACTCCTTCCGTTTTTGCCCTGGTAGTAACTGCAGCCCTTCTGGCACCACCCTACATGTGTACAGTTTTACGACTTTCCATGGCCCACCAAGACCCAAAGGCTTGCTTCTTCAGCTTGATAAACTCTTTCACTGTTGGAGTCCACCAACAATTCTTAAGTTGTTGCCACAACAAACACCAACCAACTCCAGCCACAACTCCTGGAAGCCCCCACCACAATAGAGGTTTTCATATGATTTAAAAAACAACCAACCGTGGATTTTTGGCAGAGGGTGTTGTGGTTTCAAATACACTTGAACCACCCTTTGTTTGAACATAATATGTGTTACGTCCAAGTTAGTCCATAAAAGTAAACCCAAGCATTTTTTATTTGGGGATGGAACATTTGGCAGAGAGTGGTTCTCCAACAAAACCATAATCCACAAAAAAGGTTTGAGTCTTATTGTGATTAATAAAGATATTTTTGTATCGATCACAGAACAACTTGACAGTCACATAACTTGAGCAAAGCAAGTGGAACAACATCTATGGGTTCAGGCCTCTAGAGTTTGATTAATGTGTTTACATGGTAGGAGCTCTTTCTTTGGAGATTTTAGATCCGCAGAGGGTACATTAGTGTTACAAATATCCCAACGACTCAAACAGATCAAGGTCCAGTTTCTGTTACTGTGTTTGACGGACCACAAGATGATAAAGAAGAATCCACAGAGCGGAGCTGTTCACTTTCTGAGGTGCAGGTTACTTCACATGAAACATTTCAAACAGGTTGTATGTTTTCATATCTTAATTCATGTATACTGTTAACATAATCTGCCTTGTTTTATACAAACTATTGATGGCTGGTGAATATAATGTGACATATATAACTCTTGACGGGCATGTGGAAGTGCAGAGGTATAGATATCTTTATTTTGTGATCATGTTAACTGCATATGTTCTGATCATCTGCAGTAATTCCACTATTGTGTGCATCATTGCTTTACACAGAAACCTCCATGAGCCTATGTACGTGTTCATTGCAGCTTTGATGGTTAACTCTGTTCTGTTCAGCTCTGCTATCTATCCAAAGCTTCTGATGGACTTTTTATCAGAGAAGCAGATCATATCTCATTCAGCCTGTCTGTTTCAGTGGTTTATTTACTACTCTCTAGGCTGTTCAGAATTCCTCCTGCTGGCAGCCATGGCCTACGACAGATATGTGTCTATATGTAAACCTCTGCAATATCCAAATATCATGAGGAAAAGAACTGTTCAAATGTTGCTGATCCTAGCTTGGCTTCTGCCTGCTTGCCAGTCTTCAGTGCCGATGATAGTGAGTGCTAACAAAAAACTCTGTCACTTTAATTTAAAAGGAATCATTTGCAACAGCACGGTTCAAAAACTGTATTGTGTGACTTCAAGACTGCTGAATATATACGGCTTGGCTGTTCTCGTAACTGCAGTAATTTGTCCCGTGCTCTTCATTCTTTTCACATACATCAGGATAGTTATAGTTTGCTATAGAAGCAGTCAGGAGGTCAGGAGGTAAGTCGTCTATTGCCGGCATGGACATTCTTCCCATTGGGATAACATTGTCGTGGGCAGTATATCCAGGAGGAGGGACCGACTCAACTTTTTACCGTCGCTCGGCAGGCTATTTGAGTACTTACACAGCATATGAGTGTGTAGTCATGTATCGGACAATAGATGGCGCTCTTCTCACCAGTGTGTACTTATACTGCATGGGGGGGTGGCCCAAAGGCAATATGATGGCCCACTTTCCACATATTACACAGTAACACATGTATTCACTTGCTGTGTACTTGTACGTATGGGGGGGGGTGTCCGTCAACCCAATATGGCGCCCACTTACCATATATTACACAGTAACAGATGTATTCACTTGCTGTGTACTTAAACTTGGGGGGGGGGGGTGTCCGTCAACCCAATATGGCGCCCACTTACCATATATTACACAGTAACACATGTATTCACTTGCTGTGTACTTAAACTTGGGGGGGGGGGGTGTCCGTCAACCCAATATGGCGCCCACTTACCATATATTACACAGTAACAGATGTATTCACTTGGTGTGTACTTGTACTTGGGGGGGGGGGGGGTGTCCGTCAACCCAATATGGCGCCCACTTACCATATATTACACAGTAACACATGTATTCACTTGCTGTGTACTTATACTTGGGGGGGGGGTGTCCATCAACCCAATATGGCGCCCACTTACCATATATTACACAGTAACACATGTATTCACTTGCTGTGTACTTGTACTTGGGGGGGGGGGTGTCCGTCAACCCAATATTGCGCCCCACTTACCATATATTACACAGTAACACATGTATTCACTTGCTGTGTACTTGTACTTGGGGGGGGGGGGTGTCCGTCAACCCAATATGGCGCCCACTTACCATATATTACACAGTAACACATGTATTCACTTGCTGTGTACTTGTACTTGGGGGGGGGGGTGTCCGTCAACCCAATATGGCGCCCACTTACCATATATTACACAGTAACACATGTATTCACTTGCTGTGTACTTGTAACGAATACGGGCGCCCACTTTCCGCATATTATACAGTAACACATGTATTCACTTACTGTGTACTTGTAACCAATACGGGCGCCCACTTTCCGCATATTATACATTAACACATGTATTCACTTGCTGTGTACTTGTAACGAATATGGGTCCCACTTACCAAATATTACACAGTAACACATGTATTCACTTGCTGTGTACTTGTAACCAATACGGGCGCCCACTTTCCGCATATTACACAGTAACACATGTATTCGGAGGCGTGTGGCGCAGTGGATAGAGCGTTGGTGTTGGGATCAGGGGGTCACAGGTTCAAACCCCACTGCAGTCAGCATGTCGTTGTGTCCCTGGGCAAGACACTTCACCCCAAATCGCTCCTGTGGGGATTGCCCACAGTATTGAGTATGTAAGTCGCTTTGGATAAAAGCGTCTAACAAGTAATGTAATGTAATGTAATGTAATGTATTCACTTGCTGTTTACTTGTAACCAATACGGGCGCCCACTTTCCGCATATTACACAGTAACACATGTATTCACTTACTGTGTAACCAATATGGGTCTGACAGGCTTGTGGTGGGGAGGGGCAGAAAATGAAAAAAATTGAAAAAATGTAGTTGGCGTTCTGAAACTTTGAGAGTGTGTTGCTTAACGTCTGTGGAACCCGCTTGCAAAATATGGGGACCCTGCGACCTTCGACAAGGTCAAAACGGAGGTCAGAGGTCACATTCGCAATGCCGACAGTACCCTTGACGGCACAAAGGAAGGTCCGACCGCTTTGAGCTTGCTCTCATTAGAACCGGCTCGAAAAGTACATGCAGATTGATGCCTCTGCTGCTCCTAATGTCAAAAGTTACGGCTTAAAATGTAACAAAGCTCCAAAGGTCAAAGGTCACCTGTGCATGCTATACCCTACTGTTTTTGCCACTTAGGAAGGTCCGACTGCTTTGAGCTTGATGTCATTTTAACCGTCTCGGAGAGCAGATGCAGATTCATGCCTCTGGTGCAACGAAATGTGAAAGGTTATGGCTTAAAATGTAACAAAACCTTCCGTTAAGGCCTTTTGAGATGCTGTAGTGCTGCATGAGTGTTTAAAGTACTTTGAAAAGGGCTAAAGAGATAATTTCTTCACAGGGGGCCTCTAAATAGGGCTCAGATCTGGAATCTGAAATATGGGAAACCTAACCCCCACAGAACTTTTTTTTTGATAAAATGACAAACTTTCTCACACAATGCAGTTTAGCATCTGACACCCTTGTGGTGGAGGAGGGGAGGAAAATGAAAACAATTGAAAAAATGTAGTTGGCGTTCTGAAACTTTCAGAGTGTGTTGCTTAACGTCTGTGGAACCCGCTTGCAAAATATGGGGACCCTGCGACCTTCAACAAGGTCAAAACTGTGGTCAGAGGTCACATTTTCATGCTTCACGGTGCCCTTTACGGCACAAAGGAAGGTCCGACCGCTTTGAGCTTGCTCTCATTAGAACCGGCTCGAAAAGTACATGCAGATTGATGCCTCTGCTGCTCCTAATGTCAAAAGTTACGGCTTAAAATGTAACAAAGCTCCAAATGTCAAAGGTCACCTGTGCATGCTATAACCTACTGTTTTTGCCACTTAGGAAGGTCCGACTGCTTTGAGCTTGATGTCATTTTAACCGTCTCGGAGAGCAGATGCAGATTCATGCCTCTGGTGCAACAAAATGTGAAAGGTTATGGCTTAAAATGTAACAAAACCTTCCGTTAAGGCCTTTTGAGATGCTGTAGTGCTGCATGAGTGTTTAAAGTACTTTGAAAAGGGCTAAAGAGATAATTTTTTGACAGGGGGACTCTAAATAGGGCCTAGATCAGGAATCTGAAATATGGGAAACCTAACCCACACAGAACTTTTTTTTTGATAAAATGACAAACTTTCTCACACAATGCAGTTTCGCATCTGACACCCTTGTGGTGGAGGTGGGGAGGAAAATGAAAAAAATTGAAAAAATGTAGTTGGCGTTCTGAAACTTTCAGAGTGTGTTGCTTAACGTCTGTGGAACCCGCTTGCAAAATATGGGGACCCTGCGACCTTCAACAAGGTCAAAACTGTGGTCAGAGGTCACATTTTCATGCTTCACGGTGCCCTTTACGGCACAAAGGAAGGTTCGACCGCTTTGAGCTTGCTCTCATTAGAACCGGCTCGAAAAGTACATGCAGATTGATGCCTCTGCTGCTCCTAATGTCAAAAGTTACGGCTTAAAATGTAACAAAGCTCCAAAGGTCAAAGGTCACCTGTGCATGCTATAGCCTACTGTTTTTGCCACTTAGGAAGGTCCGACTGCTTTGAGCTTGATGTCATTTTAACCGTCTCGGAGAGCAGATGCAGATTCATGCCTCTGGTGCAACAAAATGTGAAAGGTTATGGCTTAAAATGTAACAAAACCTTCCGTTAAGGCCTTTTGAGAAGCTGAGTGTTTGAAGTACTTTGAAAAGGGCTAAAGAGATAATTTTTTCACAGGGGGCCTCTAAATAGGGCATAGATCAATAACCTGAAATATGGGCACCTTCACCCACCCAGAACTTTTTTTCAATAAAATGTCAAACTTTCACACATAATGCTGTTTGGAGCTAAGAATCTGACACCCTTGTGGTGGGGGAGGGGCAGAAAATGAAAAAAATTGAAAAAATGTAGTTGGCGTTCTGAAACTTTGAGAGTGTGTTGCTTAACGTCTGTGGAACCCCCTTGCAAAATATGGGGACCCCTGCAACCTTCGACAAGGTCAAAACGGAGGTCAGAGGTCACATTCGCAATGCCGACAGTACCCTTGATGGCACAAAGGAAGGTCCGACCGCTTTGAGCTTGCTCTCATTAGAACCGGCTCGAAAAGTACATGCAGATTGATGCCTCTGCTGCTCCTAAGGTCAAAGGTTACGGCTTGAAATGTAACAAAGATCCAAAGGTCAAAGGTCACCTGTGCATGCTATAGCCTACTGTTTTTGCCACTTAGGAAGGTCCGACTGCTTTGAGCTTGATGTCATTTTAACCGTCTCGGAGAGCAGATGCAGATTCATGCCTCTGGTGCAACAAAATGTGAAAGGTTATGGCTTAAAATGTAACAAAACCTTCCGTTAAGGCCTTTTGAGAAGCTGAGTGTTTGAAGTACTTTGAAAAGGGCTAAAGAGATAATTTTTTCACAGGGGGCCTCTAAATAGGGCATAGATCAATAACCTGAAATATGGGCACCTTCACCCACCCAGAACTTTTTTTCAATAAAATGTCAAACTTTCACACATAATGCTGTTTGGAGCTAAGAATCTGACACCCTTGTGGTGGGGGAGGGGCAGAAAATGAAAAAAATTGAAAAAATGTAGTTGGCGTTCTGAAACTTTGAGAGTGTGTTGCTTAACGTCTGTGGAACCCCCTTGCAAAATATGGGGACCCTGCAACCTTCGACAAGGTCAAAACGGAGGTCAGAGGTCACATTCGCAATGCCGACAGTACCCTTGATGGCACAAAGGAAGGTCCGACCGCTTTGAGCTTGCTCTCATTAGAACCGGCTCGAAAAGTACATGCAGATTGATGCCTCTGCTGCTCCTAAGGTCAAAGGTTACGGCTTGAAATGTAACAAAGATCCAAAGGTCAAAGGTCACCTGTGCATGCTATAGCCTACTGTTTTTGCCACTTAGGAAGGTCCGACTGCTTTGAGCTTGATGTCATTTTAACCGTCTCGGAGAGCAGATGCAGATTCATGCCTCTGGTGCAACAAAATGTGAAAGGTTATGGCTTAAAATGTAACAAAACCTTCCGTTAAGGCCTTTTGAGAAGCTGAGTGTTTGAAGTACTTTGAAAAGGGCTAAAGAGATAATTTTTTCACAGGGGGCCTCTAAATAGGGCATAGATCAATAATCTGAAATATGGGCACCTTCACCCACCCAGAACTTTTTTTCAATAAAATGTCAAACTTTCACACATAATGCTGTTTGGAGCTAAGAATCTGACACCCTTGTGGTGGGGGAG